AGTAAGGTAACTTGGGAGAATGATGACTTTTAACCACTGACCATACAACATTTTCATCAGTGTAAATATAACTCCTCATTACTCTGCCAAGGTTGCACTGAATCATACAACCGCCAGTGAAGTCAGACTTTCTAAATATTCTTATTTCAAATAAAAACACACTAATGAAAGTGCTTTTGGTTTTAGGTATCTCTTCTTTCTGAAACACTGGTGTGTAGTTACTCTGATAAGCGGGAATGCCAGGAAAACTGATCATTCAAGGAAAAATTCAGTTAGTGCTCAAACAAGTTCTCAGGGTACTTGTGTATGGAAAAAGCCTGGAGGTATTCAAGGATTGGCATCAGCATATTTATACTCACATTCTCCTCAATTTAGTGTTAATATATCCTTCATCACGACCAACATAGTAATTACAGAGTGCACAGAGACTCCGAAAGCTGCAGCAAGTTACAGGCTGGATTATTACTTTGTATTGCAGAGGAACATGATAATCCATAGTTATGAATGAGAACTCCCCTGTGACCAGGTGCTCTATGATTTGAAGGCAACATCTCACAAACCTTACATTTGAAACCAGAAGAATGAGTTAACCCAAAGCGGGTGACACTCATTTCCCAGATAAGATATTTTTCATCCTCTCAGGTGAACTGAAATTGTGTATATTCAGTTTCCTTCTTTTGTATTTCAGAAAGAGCACCCGGTTTAATCACTTGAATGGTCTTGGTCATGCAACATGTAAGTACTGGTCCTTCAGGTCTTCTCTGAAACAAGGTTTGTAGCTCACAGTTATTCCCTAAATCAAATATGAACCGGGGACAGCAGCCTTTATGTTAATTAAGTGGTACCCCATTCCAGTGCTGATGTCCCTGCCTGGAGGCAACAGTTCTTTATATGTATTTCAGGCTGGAGTGGGCCACTTGTGTCACCTCACTTGAACTCCTACAACAAGACCCAGAGACACCCACCCAGGTACTGCTGTCCTTAGCCCAAGAAATGCAGGTGAGACAAGAACAGGTAACATTTGCATACATCTGCAGAAGGTGCATAGGAATGTTGAAAGTCAGCACAAGAGGGGAGTATGGAACTGGCAGTTTCTGAACACTTAGTTTGTGCATCTTCCCTATATGAGAATATATATTAAGCCGATGATGACTGACTTTAAATATACTAGACTCCAGGGACAGGTGACAGTGAACATAGTCCACAACCTTTCATCATCCAGTTCAAAGTCCAGTTCAGCTCACAGGCGAAATGAGATTCACAGTCTAGCCCTTAATTCCCGAAGCTTGGATACATTTTAAAAAAGTGGTGCAATTGAATAACACAAACAACAACGACTGCCAGAAACTGTGCCTGATTGACTCTACTTGTATTATCAGGCCCCAGCTTGACATGTGCCTGAATAGCTGAATACCAGATGAGAGGGAAGGTGGCAGGGATAATGCAAATATTTTTATTAAGTTGTTGAAGTGTTTTTGACACAACAACAGTAACATTACACCCTCAAAAATGGCACACTGAAAATTACCCTAAAGTCTATGTATCATATAAGATGCATTTACTAACAGCAGTATCTTTATACATCAAATTTATGTATAATTTATTTCCAATATAAACTCAATAAATAAAAAGAAGATACGTAATTCCAGTGAGCACACAAATAACTGGACAAGTCTGGGAACACTGTTGGGCCAGTTGTAAAGATATGAACTTACAGCATAACTTTTATTGCCAAACAGGGAGCTAGCTTGCTCTTTGAACTTCAGGGGAAATGAGGATAAACAAGTTATTATAAAAGATGATCATTTAGTATCATCATACCACTTTCTAAAAATCTAACCAACAAGCCAAAGCATGAACTAAAGCTAGTTATTTACTTCCAAAAATATAACTATGTTTAGCTCCAAACAAATACTTCCACATACATGGCTGAAAAAAGATCAGAAGGTATAGCAACTATTTTGAAACCTGCATTTCCATCAAACATCTTAGTTTATTTATATATTCCCCACTTTCCTTGAAGTATTGCCCACACAAGCAGCATTTCCCACTTTGGAGAATAACCATTAATTTCACACTGCAATGTTTTTTCTAGAGATATAATTACACAGAAGACAAGTATTCTTTATTAAAATACCTGAAGGCATGTCAGGTAGTTATGACTGGTAGTTATTCAGAAGCATAGGGGTTTTTCTTTTTCTTCTTTTTTCTTTTTTCTTTTTCTTTTTCTTTTTCTTTTTCTTTTTCTTTTTCTTTTTCTTTTTCTTTTTCTTTTTCTTTTTCTTTTTCTTTTTCTTTTTCTTTTTCTTTTTCTTTTTCTTTTTCTTTTTCTTTTTCTTTTTCTTTTTCTTTTTCTTTTTCTTTTTCTTTTTCTTTTTCTTTTTCTTTTTCTTTTTCTTTTTCTTTTTCTTTTTCTTTTTCTTTTTCTTTTTCTTTTTCTTTTTCTTTTTCTTTTCCCCACTTTCCTTTCCTTGTTTGCCAGATAGTAAGAGCTTTGGAGATGTAAAGGTATGACTTGATCTCAATGCATTTTTAACATTGTAATAAATGATGCAGCGAGGTACGGAATAATCAGGCTAAAACTGTTCTGCGCAAGACAACTGTTCAATATGCTTGACATCAACAAATACATTCTCCCAAGGCCTGGCAAACTATGAATGAATGGTGTTATTTTCTTATGATTCTTTTAAGATAAGTTAAAAGAGTTCTGAGTTCTCTGAGTTCTTCCTTCTACTCGTATTTTATAGAGTAACTAGGATATAAATTCTATGAATTGTTGAAGCTCCTAGTATGCCCCAGTTGGGAAAATTATTTATTCTTACAGGCATAACTATGTCCAGATCCAAAAGCCTGTGTCAAAGCAGAATACAACTAAATATATTCCTAATGTTCTTCCTGTTGCTTTTTTTAGTTCCTGCTTTCATCCTACAACTCGTGATTTTTCTTCTTTTGCCTTTTCTGATAACACACCCAATATAACACGCCATTTACAATTTTAGTGTTTTACTGTAGCATGCCAAAGACATGTCAGCATAATCTCTTCATCAGAAATTGAGAGTATCTTGTAAAGTTTAAATTACAAAGCATTGTCTCATCAGAATGATATTTCTCTTGGAATTGAAGCATTTTGACGATAAAAAGTCATAGAAAGAATGCAGGCACACAGAGCGATTCAGGGCAGCTAGGAGCCAACGCACAGCAGAAGCTACATATAAGACAAGGGAAAAGAGGGCGTAAAGAGAAAGAGAGGAGAGAGAAGAGTATGTGTGTCGAAGGATGGGAGCAGGGAGAGAAGAGGGAGAATGAATGCACACTCATATAAAGAAGAGGGAAGGTAATTTTGCCAGTTCTTTCTCGCTGGTTCACAGAAGTCACTAAACTGACTGCGAATTACAAAGTGCCTAAACTCCAGTTTTCAGGAAGAGGAAATTAGCTCAAGTCTTTTTATGGAAAAAAATCCCCCAAATCCTCCACTTAAAGTACCAATCTTGTCTGTTTCCCTTACGATGGATACTTATAAATTCTGAAGTTGTCATGTTCTACTATCTAAATGTACATATAGATAGCTTTGGAAATAAATGCAGACCACAAATAGGAAATGTGATATTGGCAGCAAAGGTAAGAAATGTTGGATCTTCAGCACTTGAAAACAAAACCTGTGCAAAGTGGTAGGGCTGAAAGTCCAGCCCAGTATGCAAACATCGTACCAGCGTTAATAAAAAGTGGAGATTAAGAGATGCAGATAGCAAAAAAGTTTTCTAAAGAAAACTGTATTTTTGACTGAAAGGTCACTTTCACAGAGATTGATTTTCCTCAGAAGATGCAATGTCCTGCTGTTTGTGATGTGTCTGGAAAAGAGACTCCTTCTCTGAGAAGTTTTCCTTTGAATCCCAGTTGGTGGGAAAGCCAATGGCCTCTGATGTAAGTTACCTCTCAGTCCTGGTTACTAAACATTTAAAATTCACTTTTTTCCATTTCTAATACTCTTGAGAGCATCCTTAACATGAATCCAGAGATGTGACAAATTCCACATCCTCATCTTGATGTTTCTGCTCAAGAAATCTAAGACTGCCTGCCCCTGAGATGACTACCCCAAATCAAAACTGATAACCTGAAAGAGAGTGAGAATTTGAAGAGAATATAAAAACTCAGTTAGATCCACAGAACTCAGAATTTTTAGAAGACAGGACAGACCTGTATCACAAATCCTGTCAAGTAGTCTGCTTGTGAAAGTTTGAATTTATCACAAGCAATGACAGGCTGCTAAAAACAAATAAAAAGAGAGAGGAAGGGTGAAATGACAAAATAAAGGACTTAATAAATGCATTGACATCAGAGTGAAATTTTCAAAGTGACTCCTTTCTTTTGATAATAAAAGCCTATCCCTAAAAGCATTCTTCATCACAGCACAACAATACGCACTTTTTTGTGTGTGTGTGCATGGGTGTTGAAGATTAGAGATTTGGGAGGGGGGCTGGAGGTTCAAATACATGCGAGACACTTGCAAGCAAATCAAAATTGTCTGCAAAAAGCCACTTCCTGCTGGTGACTAAGCCTTCACCCAAACAGTTGAGAGGAAGGGGCACAAGTAAAGCATTGCAAATGACCATCCCGATTTTATCAGAGTGGAGACAACTAGGACAAACAAACTTAGGAAGTGGCAGGGAGTTAAAAACTGAGAGGAAATCTATGGCACAGAGAGGAAAGTGAAGAGATTGCGCTGATCTGCAGCAAGGTCACCTCTGGGTCGCACTGCGCCAAGCTTTTTCAAAACCGCTTTATTTGGGCTATAATACAAAACTGGCACACACAGCTGGCGACTGCTGCAGAGGCCATTCAAATGTTAACATTCTCAATGATAAACAGCCAAAAAAAGTTCTATGTAAGCAAATTGGAACAAACAACTAATCTAAATCTGGTTGCTAAGAGACAGAGGATTTCAGCCAAAACCAGCCCCAAGCCTCAAGAATACTTTATTTTTGATTAAAAAAAAAAAGTACCTGTAGATGACGCCATGTTGGTGAAGAAACATGAGTGCTGATGTGACCTCTGCTGCATAAAAGCGGGATCGAGGTTCGTCAAATTTGCGTGAGCGCTGGATTTGAAACATTAGGTCTCCTCCATTTACATATTCCATGACGAAAAAGAGGCGGTCCTGAAATTAATTAAACAGTGCTATTTAGCTAATTACTCTGAGTTACACAAAGGACTGCTTGCAGCTACGCTTTAGGTGACTGCAGCATTTGCGTCAAGAAATGAAAGAAACGAACGCTACAATTCTGAAAAAGGAAATGCTGACAACCAAAATCCCCCAAACCTAAAGAAAATGAGAAAGAGTCTCAAAATGAGAAATGGAAAAATGGGAATAGAATCAAAATGTAGTAATAAACAACACATACAGAAATCTCCACACATAAAAAACCCCATATGGAATTATAATCAATTTTATATAAAAATAGAGATACTTAAATGATGCTGTTTCTTTTAAAAATTAGCCATAACAAGAAAGCAATAAAGCAAATTCTGTCAACGACTAAAGGGCTGCTGGGCAAATTTCAGGCTCCTTATTCTTCTCTTATTTCTTACTAGCTACTTGGTCTGCAAAGTATCTTTCTGAAATCACATAAAAATGAATTAGAATTGTTAAGCCATGGAAACCAGTGCTGCCAATCCCAAACACTTATATATGACTTTCTGAATTGCCTCAAAATCTCATAAAACAATGAAATATAACTAAATTATTAAATACATATCAAGTTAATTTTATTTTCTTCTGATGCTTATCACTTCAAAGTTCAAGTTTTCAATCCTTATTCCATGACGGAGAACTAGAAATGAACTTCACCTGAGAACAGCAACTGAGATTCTTAAGTGATCATCACATTTTGGTGTGTTTCAGAAAAAAAATCCAGAAGTTAAGCACTTGGTAAAATAGTACTGAGAAGACCAGCAAACTAAATGTGTGCTTGGCATCTTGAGCCATTTATGATATAGACTGACAATGCAGATGAAGGCATAAGTAAAGAAATGACACACATCCACTTGATACAATGCAGGTACTATTTTTTGTAAATGGTTCTTATTGATTTTCATAGTTTTACATAATCTGTACTAGGAGCCCTAAATCATCAACTCTTTGCCCATTCACCCTTGGTTTGTAAGCGTACTTCCAGATTCTTTATTTCCTTACTGTAAAATAACTACATATACATGCACAGGAGTTTAGACAGAGGTGGAGGTAATTCTCATGTGACGTGGAGAACGGATCTGAGCCTATACTCCTCACCCTGCATTAGCTCGGCTCATGTGACACAAACATTTAGTTCTCTGGTCACACCATACACAGGTGTGTAAGCATGGGACTTCACACCACAGGGAGCCCCTCTCCAACTTCCACGTCACACTGCAGTTTGTCTCTAGCTAATGGTTGTCTGGTTTGTGGGGCTGAAGAAAAGGAGACAAGATGCAACACTGAAGGAGACAAGACTGAAGGAAACAAGATGCAACAAGAAGCTGGTGAAGGGTCTGGAGAACAAGTCTTAGGAGGAGTAGCTGAGGGAATTGGGATTGTTTAGTTTGGAAAAAAAGGAGGTTGAGGGAAGACCTTATCACTCTACAACTACCTGAAAAAAAGTTGTAGTGATGTGGGTGTTGGTCTCTTCTCTCAAGTAACTAGTGATAGGATGAGAGAAAATGGCCCCAAGTTGTGCCAGGGGAAGTTTAGACTGGATATGAGGAGAAATTTCTTTACTGAAAGAGTGGTCAAGCATTGTAGCAGGCTGCCCAGCGAAGTGGTGGAGTCACTATCCCTGGAGGTGTTCAAAAAATGTGTAGACATGGCACTTCAAGACATGGTTTAGTGGTGTTGGGTTGACATGAGATCATGTCTTAGAGGATGTCTTTTCCAATCTTAATGATTCCATGATTGCTTTGGTCAAGCAAAACCAACAGAAGATGGAAGTTAATTAACCTCCCACAAGTGAATCCAAGCCTGTAGATTACATAGTTTATATATATGAGTCCAGAAATTCATGTTTGCCATTTGTCTTTAATCATCCACTCTACAGCTCAGATTCAATGCACAGCTCTTAAAAATATCCTTCAACTTAAGCACATGCATTAATCCTGCTCATTAAGTGCCTAAATGTTACACTTATCAGGGGTGCTTCCTGGAGGAGGCTAGAAATGTTTGTCTGCTTTTTGCTGATTACAGAAAGAGGATGCAGAAAAAAACCTTGTGCCTTTCCCCCTGTATTTTGGGAACACAGAAACTGCCAGCCTGGATCAACTTCAGGATCCAGGTGAACTGGCATTCTTGGTAAAACATTGCTAGCAGCTTTACTACATTTTCCAAGATTTTTGTTACCATTCCCTAGTAAGGAAAACCTACTAAGCTTCTGGTTGTATCAAACACTCAAAAGAGCACAGCTTCAGAGCCACGCATCTGTTATTTTTGCAATGCTTAGTACTGCTGATAATAAACATTCAAAATCACAGTGCAGTCTTGACATTAGTGTAGCCTTTAAATATCAATTTCTTTGCTGGTTTTAAGCAAAAATACAGGTCCTTGTGCAGCCTCTTTGATTTCTTTCTGGAACCGATGAGAACTGCAGCTTTACTTTTAAAAGAAAATCTGATAGGACTCTCTTAGAATTTCAGAAGCTAGAGTTAAGGATAACACCAAATGCAGTCAGTTTTGCGATAAAGTCAGTCAAAAGCATAACTATAGTGGTACTGTAATGTAACACAAGAGGATACAACATCCCTAAGAAGATGATGCAGACGTTGTCCTTCATTAGGCTCCTCATCACTGCACTACAGACAGAGCACCTCCAAAGAGCAGTTTCGGTACGAGTGTCCCTTTGCAACACGTTGCCTTAGATTATCTCACATGGATATAGACTCCTGAACGCTCATCCTCAACTTACCACTGAGCTGGGAGTTGCTGCTTCCCAGTGCTGATACCACCACTCTTCCATGGCCAGTGAGATGGTGCACAAAAAAGAAAAGGCTGGCTTACACAACTGTTAAGATGACGGTCGTTTCCTAACATGCCAGGTTATACATTGTACCATTTCTACATTAATTACTTCTACATTTGATCCAAACTGAACCAATGGGGTTTTTTGTGACATTCATCATATGCGTAATTGCCAGTTCTAACTATCAGAAACTGTGTTTAGGTCAAATGTCAAGTTCTTTTATTTTGGTTCAGTCCTGTATAGGACATTTCCATTTTAGCCAACCAAAAATTTAACCTAGGTCATTTAGCAGAATATCTTGTCATCAGACAGTCTGAACAAAAGCTTTAGCAGCAGCTCTGTTCCCAGAGCTGGAAAGTGCTAACTCTCCTATCCTCTTTCACATCTTCCTTATTGTGCACATCCCGTTCTCAATTTGAAGGGGTATTTCTGGCAGATTCTGCAGCTTAGTTGACTGCCTCTTCACAAGTATACCTACTAAAAACCAGAATTAACAGCTCAGTGATTGAAATTGCTCTGCTGTTGAGTTTTTCTGCTATACACTGGTATTTCAAGTTACTTTTCTAGCTTTCTTGGGTGAACAATTCAGTTTCCCAATGAGAATTCACAGGAAAAAAAAAAAAAATAGTTTGAAAGTTCCGCTCTCTGTTTACAATGAGTCTGGAAAAATATTAATTCTCACCCACTAACATGAGGCAAACAGTAAGATGCACAACATACACATGCACAGCAGGTCAGAGTTTCAACATTAAAACACACCATCTTCTTTGATGAAATATACTCAGACCTTATGAGAACTACTTTCTTAAAACTACTCTTGTTTTTTGTTGACAATGACATGGTCAGCTGGGACTCAAATTGACATGAAAAGATGATACATCAGAAGACAGAATGTTTTATGAATATGAACTGAGATTGGTAAATCAATTTTTCCCCTGATTCCCATAATCTCAACAATAACAGAGACACTATTTTGATTTTTCTCCTTAAACTCTCTTTTAATCTTTCACAAAAAGTTACTGATCAAAATTCATGTTCCTAAAACCGTATTTCCTTTCTGTCATAATGTATGGACATGTACAGTGACCCAACGAGACCTTTGTGACTTCAGTGCAGAGGGGATTTCATCCTCAAACAGTAATTGCGAAACAACTGTATTATGCCTGATTATATTCATCTTGCTACGTGTATCACCAGGTTATATTCAAATATTGAAGTGGGGAATATAGAGTGAACACCCTAAAGAATTATGCATTATTAAGGGACAAGACAGTGTTTACTCAGTTAAAAATAAGATACAAGGTATGAGTTTATCATTGACTGTGTTCCAAGAGAAAATTGAATGGGCTTGGTTTGGACTGCATCATTTTTGGACTCCATCTTAATAACATTTGAGAAGTATGTTTTGATGAACAAAATAAACGTAAAGCAGTCCTGGGAACTCTTTAATTATATAAACTGAAATAAAAGGCAAAATCACAAACAAAGACATTATAGATTAATCCTCTCTTGGCATCTATAAAGCAACAAAAAAAAAGTACTGCAAAGTAAGCAAATATATTTTCTGAAGTAATTAGATTCTTTTACAGGGTTTATTTTAGCCCTTAATCATACCTGCTTTTCCTTGAATTTCTCAGAAGGTATGGTTGAATGAGAATACTTAAAATAATAAATGGAAAGAAAAACAGAGCAGAGAGCATGGCATGGGTAAGAGATTTTGAAAGCAAAGCAGACATGGAATAAACAGGCTAGAAGTCAAGACAAAAGAAGTTCAACTACACTCTGTACTTCTATAGTATTTTCTGACTATGGCTTTAACTATTATACTGGAAAGATAACTGCCTGTCTTAACATGTCTATTATTCCAGTCTCACCTCTTGATTTTCTTAACTGAGATTCTCACCTGCATGCCTTATGTTTTCAAAACTGGACTCTAAAAGCAACATCTCTCCTAGTCTCTGTCCCTATCACTATCTGCAGAAGTACATTTGTCACTTGAACTAGAAATCTTGTTTCATCTTCTCTCTCATTCCACTTCTTTAATTGTGCCCTAATTTATTAATTAATAAATGTTTTTCATCCTCCCTGATATTCAAAATAGCCACCCTTTAGCTCTACAGTAAATCCTTCTAACTAATCCTTTACTTAATTCTGATTATTACCACAACCTTCCCTCTTCAAAACCATTCTCTGATTTTCAGTTTTATTTATATATATTTTGTTAATACCAGCCTATATATGATGTGCACTTCCTAAAAGTTTATATTTTCTTGGTTTTAGATGTTATGAGTTCCACTGGACACAGTGTCTACATTTTCCAGAAACATTAATAGTAATAAACTCCCAGGACATAACAGAATCAATCCAGCTCCTTTTTGGAGAGGTGTGATTAATGACCAAGACCGTCCTACTAGTAAGACCAGATAATCTTGCCAATCAGTTTTGATTTAACAGATGACACTATACAGTCTATTAGTTGTTTAGATGTGGAATAACACCATTGTTGAGGAACAAGCTTCTACGTAAACCCTGTATGAAAGCTTAGACATAGAAAGACTTTGATGTATTGTTTACATTAATTATTGTGTAGCCCTCACAAGATTTTTTTTAAAATTGTTATCAGCCATTAACCTGTCTGTCCTTTGTTTGTTTTCCAATTAAAATCTCATTAACATTAGATTGCAGCTTAAAGACAATCCTCTGATTGACATAAGGCCAAGTACAATTATCACTACAATCTGAAGATTACAAACTTTTTTTTTTCCATTTCAAACGACTCCTACCAGCTGGGGGACCCAATATGTGTTCAGCACAGCCTCATTACTGAAGTATTACAAGACAAAAATAAATAATCCAATCTGTCTCCCATTTTCAAATCTGAGATGTGCATCCATGCTACAAGCCCAAGAACAAATCTTTTCACTACAATTTTGTCTCCAGTTCAACCCTTACAACACTTAAAACCAGAGAATTCAGGAAACATATCAAACATGGACTCCTTAAGTAAAATTCACAATTGGTAACTCTTACCAGCCTACTCCAACTACCATTTTTTCCCTTCACTTATGTTTTCATACTATTAGCTGTGAATAACTTGTTCCCAATTCTCACTAGGTCCATAAACTAAGTTATTTGTGTGAATATACTTTTTTCTTACCAATTTCAGAAAGTCATCGTATTTGTATTAGATTTCTCCAGAGGCTACTGAAAATATCAAGGGAATTACTATGTGTATTAAATGCATTTAATTTAAATACATTTTAAATTAAAAATAGTTCATATTCTAGTAGAGTGCTGTTACATAATGCGAGACGTTTAGCCACTAAACTGGTTGCAAAACAAAAGTCAAAGATACAACTTTTATTGCATAAGAAGTCAGAGAAATAGATCACAACCTTGGTATGCTCTGTAAGATGATATTTTATTCATATCATGCATGTATGGCATTCTCTTTCAACTAGTACAAAACTGTGATTACTTAACTCTATTTAAACAGGATGCTCAAACAGTTTGTTTAAAATTACCTAAAACTACAGCCACTGTCCCACCCCTCAGAACCTGAATAAACATTTCCTGCTTCTGATGGAAATTGCACAGGCACACTGTACACAAGACTATACACAAACCTTCAACACCCTGAGAAGATGACTAACTACAATGGCAGATTCATCTTCCACAATCACAGCATCAGGAGGAACAAATCAAATACAAGAGAAAAAACAGGTACAACATTAAAGAAAACAACAAAAAGCTCTCTCCTGTTCATTTGATTCCTTTTAGAAGTTTAGAGTAACAATCTTCAACAGGACACTAGGACACGTTATCTGTCTCTGATTTCAGTGTTTATACTCAGGGCTAATTGTGTTGTTTTTCCTGTTCTGTATCAGTGCTTTCATGGAGTTCCAAATAAGAAGGGAACAATTTCTCTGAATCCCACATTTCTTGGAATAGATGCCTTGTACATAGGAACTGCTATTTTAAATTTCACAGGGATATTTGCATCTTCTACTTGAAAAAATGCACGCATTCAGGTTTTGTATTAAAGGTGGGTTTTTTTTGTCAACTAGACACTTCAAATTTCTCTCAAGTTGGTGAATATTACTACAGCTAAGGACTTGCTCAGTTTTACTCAGCTTTGCCCAGTATTCAATTTCAAATCTAGTTTTTTGCCCTTGAAAAAAGAACAACTTCAAAGTTAAAACATAGACCTGAGAGAGTCAGAGAACCACACAAAACTGAATCAAGAAGTCTTGTAAGGTCATCTAGGTTATCCCACAGCTGACAGCAAGGATCAGGTGTACCTCAGCCAAGGGGAACTAACCTTTTCAATGTCACAAGACAGTCTCTGGGCCCTGTGAACCAGTGATCTAACCATGAACTTGAACAGCCCTGCTGAGTGGACTCCATTTGGCCCACAAACACCTAGGAAGCAGAAGCCTCTGCTGCTCTGGTCAGTTGGAGGGCACGTGGGTTTATCTGCACTCCACTGCCAGAAATGCTCTCGTCCCTTCTCAGTTGACTCGTCAGCAGTAGAAGCCAGTAGTGAATAGTATTCATTGAACATATTCTGCCTTGCAGGCTGAAAATTGCATCAGTTCCTGAAATTAATCCGATCAGCTCTTTAAAAACCACTACTGACAAGAATTCCTTGAGCTCCACTGGCAGTCTATTTCAGCACTTATAGGAAATACCACTGGAAACTCTTCTCACTGCTCCGAATAATTTGCATTACTTCTTGTGCTTACCTTACACAAAATACCGATCCCTAGCTGTGCTGCAAGTTATATACTACCCTCAGAGAAACACTTCAGTGCTTTCCACCTTTGTTTCTCACACAAAGAACTGGTTATTTATTTTTCTTGATTTTACAAAACTGATAAAATATTTCTATTCTGTTTGTTGAGACTCCAGACATTATGACAATTGAGAGCCTGTGGCATAAAAACCACTTTTAAAGTCTTGAAAACAGTTTCAAGAATTGCTGGCCCTCCTTGAGACACAGGAATAATTCTGGAAAAAAGCTTCCTATACCCTACCCTACCATACCATGTGAAGGGCCTGAAAAAGCTACAAATCGAATACAACTAGTTTCTGAACAGTGCTTACACAATCAGTACAGAGATTCTCAAAACCTTTACACCGTGTTGCTGTAAAGACTTGCACTGTAGCATTTACTCGTCTATAATGTGAGTTGCTGGAAAAGGGTTTTTAAGCAAGATGTTTGTCTGAGACCTCTAATCTTCATAAAGCAGACTTGGTATGTTGCTTTTGTCATGGGAGATTTATGTTGCTTCCCTGTGGAATATCAACTGATACTGGAACAGAATGAGGTTTTTAACATGTTTTTCATGGCCCTAACACATCCCATAGTGCTGCTCAACAAGGAAAATATGGCTAGTGTATGTAAACTGAGATAAACTGCCTGGCTAGGGGTGAGGGAGTTACTATATGCCAGCAGTAGGTCACCAAACTATGTATGATTCAAAGCAGGAAACATCAGCCAGGACCTCATGGACATCACCTGTTATTTTCAAAAAATGTCAAGGGATGATTAGGTTTTACCTAGACTGGCATTCAAGAAGGAAGTCTTGTTTAATGATTTTTCCAAAGACAGATCCAACAATACTCTAGAGCTGTTCAAAATGAAGAGAAGCCAGTCTGTCCCAAATTTGTAGAGACTGAAAAAATGCACCATTTGGTTATCCCCTTAGCACTAATGCTTCTAGAAAAATTTATTTTTTCAGTTATTTAAAGATTCTAATTATTACTGTGACCAGCAAAATCCACTGACTTTAACATCAGTTTTGAAACACACAGGTCTTAATCTGTATCCTAAATTTTGGAATATGATAAAGTATGGATATGAATAAAATCTATACCCTAGAATCTGCAACTAACAATCATATATACATAAGAATAACACATGAAGGTTATGTTCCTCACACAGAGCTTTTTCCTGTATAATTTATGAATATCTGATGTTTGAATACAGTCTTCCTAATGTTTTGTCAGATAATGAATTCTGTCAGATTACTATCCAGATGAAATTTACTATGCATTGGATTAGTTGATGTATCAGGCTCATACTAATCCAATGTAGCACAGAAATGGCAGGTGGAGAGTTGTCAGTCTGCTCTGCACAGAGTTGTCATTTTACCCACTGAGAATATGTGATAAAATTCTAGCTTTACTTGAGTTTCTTGAATAGACAAAAATTTCCTACTAAGTCCCTAAAATATTATCATATGAGTGCAAACATTTTCTTTTTCTTAGGTTCTTCCCACTTTAAAACAGAATTACTATTTTGTTTTTTGTTCTTCTCAGTCACTAATGATACGCCTTTTGCATATGTGAATGTTTTCTGTGACACCTGTAATATAATATGTAATGTTCTGATACAGTATCTATAGGGCTTAGTGGTGAGATTCTCTTTAGCTCGGATGGCATTTAGATCAGGATTAAATTTTTAATGCTGTAATGTGTGGAATTTGTTAGCCAAAGCCATGCAATGAAGATGCAGAACAAATCAAACACATTGCCATTTTATCAGCTTGATCCCCACCATCTAACCTTAGAAATTAACTGAAGCAAAAAGACTTCTAACTTTGGGAAAATCTTTAACCCAAAATTATCCTGGAGAGATATGTGCTCTGTTGTCACTCAATTTTTCTGGGAGTTGGTGCAAATCTTTCAGTCTGCCCCAAGCTGCAGTGTTAGTAGCTATGAGCTTCACAGTGAGCTCTGGGAAGGACTGCTGCTCCCTGAGGTGGCAACCCCAACCCCTGATCCCTGTCTGCTCCCCAAAAGCCCAAGCAAGCCCTGAGTGCAGGGACTCCAGAAGTCTGTCAGCTGGTGTAATACACTCTTTGTGCCCTTCCTCTTGTACAAGGGAGAAACACAGCTGGAATCCCCTGCAGAAATGGCGTGTTTTGTAGTTCTACTCACTTCAAAAGGGGTATCAAGTAGGAAAACCTTCTCAGGCCATTTCCCTAATACCTTCATTTGATGACAGATAAGCTGTGAAAAGTGCCTTTTATGAAATTCTTTGATCTCATCTTCTTTTGGTGTTGTTTGGAAAGAAGAACTGTTCTGGTGAGATAATTTTAAAGATCTCTCATTTAATGGCCCAATGCACATGGCAGAAAATTATATCACGTCTGCAAAATGTCATTATGCAGAAAATGTTACAATGTGCAGGAGGCTATTAATATTCCTTTGTTCTGATTGTTACAGGAAAAATATAAACATTGTCTTCCAATTAGAACTCACTGTATAGTTTTTGAAGGCACTTCAGAACTTACAAGAACAACTTTTAACCTGTTTATATTCTGCCAAGGAGCTTAGACAGAGATGGCATGTGTCCTAGGTCTCTCCTCAGCCCCTAGGCTCATTCCTGAACCCTTCTTGTCTTTATAATTTGTATTTTCTCATGCTGTCTGGGCATCTAGTTTATGTCTTTGAGCACACACGGAAATACATCAGATGTTACACAACTAATAGAGAACACACTGGGGAATGCAGCCAGTTGGCCCAGCAGCAGTTGCATCAGAAGGAAATGGAACCCAGTTAAGGAAGATAACGAAAATGTTGGGACAAAACACTCATCCAGCAACCATTTTCTGAGAAATTATCAATTATTGCTGAAAAAAACCAACTAGAAGTAATTAGCTGAACGGGCAAGTCTTTATATCACAGTCATGATACATTGCAACAGTGCTTTTTGTTTCTAGGGATGCAATCAACTGACCAAAAGGTAGAAGTTGTCTTCTCAATCTATGAAACTGTCAGTCATGATCACAGAATCATAGAATAGACTGGGTTGGAAAAGA